GAGAATTGTTGTGTGCTCCGGACTGCGATCGGGGGCGATTCTACCCGGTTATCTACAGTTCCGCCGAAGCAGCGCTCCAGACATCCCACCTGCTGAACGTCCACGGAACGGCCCCAAGACGGCCACTGACCGCCGCAGTCCGCCGTTGGTGGAGGGCGTTGCGCCCCGAACGAATTCATGCGAGGTCGCTACGCCCCCACAAGCCGCCCGCCCATCGGAGAAATCTGGCAACCGAAGGGCTTTCAGGATATGTAACTGGGGGCAATATACCTCTTAGAAGTATGTCAAAGCGGTGCCGCGCCAAGGCAACAAGAAAGTCCTCCAGGGGAAACGCTGTAACTCCTAGACTATAAAATAATTTTGTACTCTCTTAGTTGTAAGCCTCTTTTATATTAATCTCTGTTTATTTTCTTTTTATTCAATCTTTCCTTCTTTTTTAATTTTATTAATGTAACTTCCCTGGTAAGTTTTCCAGGAATAAACTTTGTCTGGTTAACTGCAGTGATCAAATTGTTTAATTGTTGAATATCCATTAATTTCGTTAATTCATTCCTTCCATCAACCCTAATTTTAAATGAGCAAAGAAATTGTTACACATTGGCTAGTTTTTACACGAGTAAAGGAATAAGGACCCGACTTGAGCTGTACCAGCCGCTAACCGCGCATTTCTCTTCGCCCGGGAGAAGAGTGGAGGTGTTTACAAGTACAAACTTTCGACATTACGTTGAAGAGTCACAGGAGAGGCGTAGGTGATGGAAGGAATTATTAACGAAATTAATGGATATTCAAAATAAACAATTTGATCACTGGTAACCAGACAAAGTTTATTCCTGGAAAAACTACCAGGGAAGTTACATTAATAAAATTAAAAGAAAGGAAAGATTGAATAAAAAGAAAATAAACAGAGATTAATATTAAAAGATGGCTTACAACTAGAGAAGAGTACAAAATTATTTTATAGTTAGGATTTACAGCGTTGTCCCTGAGGACCTTTCTTGTGCCTTGGCGCGGCACCGCTTTGACAATACTCTAAAGGTATATTGCCCCCAGTTACATTCCTGAAAGCCCTTCGGTGCAGATGTTCTCCGATGGCGGGCCTTTAGGGGGCGGTAGCGACCTTCGAATGAATTCGTTCGGGGCGCAACGCCTCTCACCAAACGGCGGTCTGCGGCGGTTCAGTGGCCCGTCTGGCGGCCGTTCCGTGAACGTCAGTCAGGTGGTGATCGTCTGGAGCGCTGCTTCGGCGGAACTTGTAGATAACCGGAGTATATCGCCCCCGATCGCAGGTGCGGAGCACACAACAATGTCTCCCTCTGAACTATTGAATCATCTCAAATACAAATTCAGAAGTTGCGAAATCCTGTAGCAAATACGCAATTACAAAGGATTCGTCAATTTACTTTTGAAGTGCTTTTGCACTTCCTCTAAAATTCTCACTGACAATTCTAGTCTATCACCCCAGTGATTTTAACTAAGTGCCTTCAGAGGCGCACTCGCATCTCCCCGCGAATAGCCCCCACCCCAGAGAAGTCTCTCTACCAACTGTAATTTTGTTTCTCATAAATGCACGTAGTTAACTTTTATCCCCACCGTTTCTCCTCATATGTTCTTGCTTCCTACAACGATCGCGTCGCTATTGGCTAAAGGTGATGGCGTCGTACACTAAATTTGGCCAATAAGCTCCGACGTAGTATAGGAATATTCCATTATCTCTGTCTCCGTTGTAATATAAGTGTCCTCTGCCGTCTCGAAAGTAGACCATGTCTCTGAAGGGGCTTCCTGGCTACTAAATTATTGCTTCGGGTTTCCCCGATCACGATGACAGGCTTTTCAAAAGTATTCCAGATAGAGCTGCAGCTGTGCGCTTTACAATTCACCCTTTCTTCGGCCGTTGGGTGGGGTGTCAAACATTCGAAATGGGTCAGGGGATCATGGCTGTTGCAAGAAGGGTGCTGCGCGCGTGACGCCGTATGTTTTTCTTCAGTAAAAAAATTCTTAGGTCTACTTTACTCAATTTAATTTATCTTAATAATTCTGTACCGCTACAGTACATTATGTTTGTGACATGAAAATAATAATATATGAAAAATGAATGGCTGTCTCTGCGATTTCTTGCACTGAAAAGTGGTGCGGTTTTATTGAAAGAAATGTTCATAAACACTTAATTCATAGACCATTTTGTACTTGAATTACAGTGCAGTATATTCCTCTATAAATTGAAGTTTTTGTACCTAAGATACAATCTAAAAGCCACTTTCACGCTTTGCGGTCTCAACATATTACTTTGACGCTGAAAACCTGAATAGTGTTGACAGCAATGTAACGATTTTTGACGCCTCATCTTTTGCAAGGCGGCAATTTGACAATAATCTCTCTTGAATAGTGAGGAAAATTCAATTACATTTCACAAATAAATATATTTCCAAAGCTCTAATAAACCACATATTTAAATATTACTGTCATCTGTCGTACATACGAGGTTTAAACTAAAGAGTTCGCCGAAGTATACAGTGCAATTATTTGGCATATTGACGTGTTTTGCAATTTGCCGCCTACGCGAGCAGTCGAGGAAATAGTATATCTGCTTTGACAACATTGTATGAGGTTCAATATCACTTCATCTAATATAGAATGTTTCTTGTTCTGAGAAGACATGAACTCAATGAGTGAGTGACATGTTGTTTGCTTCTTGTTCGTAAGCACAAGTGTTTAGCGTGTTCATTTTCATTTGGTTTGTGACTTTTGGTGGAACAGTATGGCTTCTGTTCGTAGTAATGGCCACACAATACACAGTTAAGCTAGGGAAAATATACGTCTCGTCATTGAGAAATGTGACAAAGAAAAGAATTCGGGTGTTCTTCAACACACGCTGCATAACAGCAATTTTCAGGTACTAGTAAACTGTACTGAAGTATCTGTTCGAACAGTGACATCAATTACAAAAGAAGGATTTGAAGCCGGCGGGGCGCCTGAGTACTCCTGGTAAGCCAAAGAAGCATATTGTGGAGTTTAAAAATTACACATTGATGAACATCACTTTTTTGCTTAATTTATTTTCTTATTCCTCGTATGATATTTTATTCTTCCTATGGATACTTTGCGTAATATATTTTGGACAGGCTATTCAGGCAGATTAGGCAGGGGGGGAGGGCAGTTCCTAGAACATTGAGCGCATCCCAGTCCTCGTAAACGAGTCAGCTCCCAGCTATAAAAATGAATGTGGCTGGGGATGAAACAGACGCAGTAGACTACGTGGACTTGAGGCAGGAAGTGTAAAAGCGGAGAAAAACACAGAGTAAGCGAGCCGATCAGTGAACTTGGAGTGGGCATTCTCCACGTTGTCTATTTGCGAACCACTTTCCCAGTGCCATATCGGACTTGGAAATCCCGGGCCCCTTCCCCCACGGTCACTTTACCCGCGTCCAGGCTCGTTCGTGCCCTAGTCCTTTGTGGCAGGTGGCGAAGAAAGACCAACCGCCCTATGCATTCGGAGCAACAACCTGCTCAATAGTTTCCACAATCGACAGACTGAATCAGAGCCTCAACATCGAAGTGAAGATTCGATGGATTATATAGTACAATATAAGCAATACTGTAGTGTACATACTTTGGGTTTTACTCCAAACGCGTGCCTATTATCATCATTATTATTATTATTATTATTATTATTATTATTATTATTATTATTATTATTATTATTATTACTATGTACAACGGAGCCCTTATATTTCTCTCTTTTCAAACATTACATTTCTCTGCAAAGAAAGCAAATGATCAGACGAAAGTCAGAAAATTCTTCGGGGATTCCAGCCCAGACCAAGACAAGATAAAGAAAAGTATATTCAAGAAAAAATCGAAGAAGTGGAGGAACATAATAACAAATGGAGATCTTAAGAAATTTTCAAGGTCATCCGAAATATGACCACGGATTGTAAACCAACAATGCGGAATGATAAGAACGTGAACGACAAAATAAATACAACGAAATAAGAGATCACAAAAAGATGGGAAGAATACACGAAGAACTTATATAAGAAGGATTTACAAGTAGATTAGTGGATAAATATAGATGATTACAAATAAGAACCTGAGATCGAAGAAATGAATTAGGCGACCAAACAACTGAAAAATGGGAAGTTCTCGGCTGTAGATGATATTCCAATCGAACTATTCAAAAATACAGGGGAAGAAATCTTGGCGAAACTGACACAATTATGCAATGTGATCTGGAAAAGGAAAGAGTGACCAACAGATTTGCAACGCACTATAATTACTCCATTATCAAACAAGAGGGACAGCCGAGATTGTACAAATAACACAATTGCATGAATATGAGTAATGCCTTAAACAATTGTAAGATGGTATTCGAAGGAAGACGGAAATATGTAAAAAATATAGTTATGTACCTCGGTCTGTAATAGTAGTATAGCACCTCTAGTTTGATTTTCATGGAAAATTGATTGAGATGCAAAGTGTCGAACGAATAAACCGGCTGTGTGGCTTGCTTGTCCCGCAAGTCCCACCTACTCCGTCGGGGCTGGTCGCACGCCGCCGGGCCTGGCCGTGCCGCCGGCCATTTTAAAAAGACGTCAAATGCTGTTTACAGATCGAAAATCGGACCATTGGTTCAGACGTTATCAGTAAAGTAAATTCCCCTGTGATTGTGCTGCGATCTATTGAATTTTCTTACAAGTATTTTTCGATGCATTTAGCCTTAAGGCGCTACCAACGTTTTTTATATTGTCACAAGCTGTTTATCTCCGCTAAGTCCGTCTCCATTGCGGGCGCAGCGTCGCGTGGTGTCGCTGGAGACGGTGCAGCCCGACGGGCAGCGCTGGGAGGTGCAGATGGGCGCGGGCGACGCGCCGGCCACGTGGACGCCCACGGGCATCTACATCGTGCGCACGCACACCGACTACGAGGTGAACGAGACGCTCAAGCGGCGCGGCGACGGCACCGTGGCCCTCTTCAAGCCCAACGGCGACCTCGTCGTGTCCTTCCCCGACGGCACGCAGATCACCTCGGGCCCGCCGCCGGCGCCGCAGCCCTCGCGCAGGGTTCGCAAAAGTAAGCGCTCCTGCGCTCGAAAGCCCCGCAGCAGCGTTGGACACTACCATGAGTTTTGGGAGCCACAAAAATTCGAAGTTAGCTACATTGTGAAGGGATATTTATAATTTGGTTGTTAAAATGAAGACACTTTTTTTTTCATTTTATAACAAATGAAGGAACATTTCTTTACAGTATACAGTATACATTATACATTACAGTATACATTATTATTCAGAAACACATGAAGGAATACAATTTTTCTTTTCAGAAGTGCTTTTTCGAGTATTCGTTTTTGTTGTAAGTTGTTTTGAAATCTGGCTGATAATTAGTAAGAACAGTTCGCAGGTGTTCACTTAAATGTTTATCAGGTAGTTCATACCTGCATTTAGATTTAATTAATTTGATCGTTGACTAGAGTGGTTTACACCCATAAGTAGTACCAAAGATTCTGATAAGAGTCTTACCACACTCTTTTTAGTGGGTATTTTTCTTGTGGAACATTCTTCTAAAATTTGAAATCGAATATTTTGCTGCTAAATATCCTCTGTGAATAATACAATATACAGAAAGGAATTCAAGAAATAATGTGTCAGCATTTAAAAGCCCAGTACGTCCTTGTTTCGTGCCAGTCATAGATGGTGCACAATCGGTAGCAGTGCTGACAGTATTATCGATAGGCACTGAGTTTATCTATAAAACTTCATCCAGGGAGTAGTTCCCTTCAATGTTACGTGGTCTAAGAGTTGTTTTACCACCTCGAAGTCTTTTGGAATGTACCTCACTAATGTGGCTAGGTGTGGTTTATCTTTAATATCAGTAGACTCGTCGAGAGCCAGCTTAAAGTTGGTTTGTAAATTATTTAAAATATCCTGACAAATAACAGGATCTCGTTTCTGTATTGTGTATGTAGCTGCGGGCATTTTGTTGCTTAGTTTCTGCAGTTTCTTATTTTCGGGTTCTAAAACAGAAATAACTTGTGCCATGTTCGTATAATAACCTCCTCCTCTATGTAAAGCTCTTTTGCTTGTGCAATATTAAATGCCAAGATGAAGCCAACTTCACTTGTCAAATCTGCTTCCTTGGCAAAAGTTGACCTAACCCTACTCCAACCATTTGTTTTCCTTTCGTGATTTCAGTTTGAGAGAACCACGAAGTCTCTGAGAGCCAACAAGAAATTATTTATTGAAACTATTGTGGCTAGTGTCGTGATGGAGTCTTAGATTAACGACATTGAACTTTGAAAAAGTTATTTGACACAAAAGACACATTGGCTTACCGTGTCTTTCTACAAAAATAAATTCTTCCTCCCAGCTTGTATTAAAAACTCGATTCTCCTCTTTATATTTACGCTGCTTAGACAGCATCGTAATTGTTCAGACTCCAGACAACAACAGTACTAAAACAGCACACAACAGTTGCACACAAGAAAATATCGACACTCGCTGGTATTACTCGTTTACTTTACACTTGCAGACGAAGCGCTGCGATGTTTACATGAGATCACCTCCGACTGATAATTCTTACCTTCAAAATACAGACTCACTCACGCTCAAAGCGCTGTCTAACAAAAGGCCCAGGAAGTATCGGTGTCAAGAGCCGCGTGCGACTCCCGTGCCTCGCTGTGGCCGCACGCGTGCCGTGTTTACCCGCTGAACGGCGTGCGGCGCAGAGTCGTCGGAGGGCGCGTCGATGGTGGGGTCGCTGAGCGCGCTGACCGCGGGCGGGTCGAGCGTGCTGCGCAGCATCGTGTCGTCGCGCGCGTCGCCGGCCACCTCCACCCCGTCGGCCATCGCGTCGGCCGCCGTCAGCACGCGCACGACGCCCGGCCCGCCCACGCCCCCGTGGCGTCGAGGACGCGCCCGCGCGCCCGGCCACCGTGCCCACGCCGGTCGCCGCCGCGCCGCCACACCGGCGCACTTCACGACGCAAACGCGCCGCTGCAGTCGCGCTCCTGGACCGGCCCAGCACAAGCCCGTGCCGCGTACAATCCCCGCTCATGCAGATCTACACCGGCGCCACCCCCGGCGTCCACCTACCCCACCCGCAAGGACTACGCCTAGTAAGCACGCCCTACAACACTATTTTAATTTATTTATTTATTATGTTATTTATTTATTTATGTTATTTATTTATTTATTATTTATTTATTTATTATTTATTTTTTATTTATTTATTTATTTAGTTATTTATTTAGTTTATTTATGTTATTTATTTATTATTTATTTACTTTTTTATTTATTATTTATTTATTTATTTATTTATTTATTTATTTATTTATTTATTTATTTATTTATTTATTTGTATATTTATTTATTTATTTATTTATTTATTTATTTATTTATTTATCGTTTGGTTTGATTGCGGGCAGACAATGAGCGGCCGTTGTTACACAGCCGTTTTGTGTCTTACTTCTGTGGGTATCACGCATAAAGCCTCATTTATACGTCAGTAGCTAGCTGACCGAGTTTTCTAGGCATCGAGTGGATTGGACACTACAGACGGCGCGAAAGATACTTTGTAGGATACTTTTGTGCACTATGGAGTGGTCAAGCACCGCTACAGATTACCAGAATGTCTCGGGATTGGGCTCGTAAATTTGCTTCATATGTCCCCAGGACGGTACTGAAATCTGCATTAACGCCAAAGTGCGGCCAATTATGCTCTCTCACTCTGTCTTGTGACATTCGTAGGATAGCTGATGTCCTGGCTATTTATCCGAAACACTCCAAGAGTCGAGACAAGCCACGAAACAACGCACTCGCTGAATTCGCAAACAATCTCTTTCTTAATTACCGGAATGTTATTTGTGGGAATACTGATGAGGGCCGTGATGAGGGCCTTGCAGTCCAAACTAAAATAAATGGAACACTTTGCTCGTCAAATTTTACCCGACTGCTTGAACGCCTCTGCGAATAATGTGATTGGCTCGGATCGTGTATGTTTGTTCGCAAAAAAAGATCGTGCGAATGTTCGTTCGCGTATTTGTTCGTAAAAAAAATCTGTAAAAAACAATGCCTGCATAGAAGTTTGGGGTGAATGTTATTGCCTATACTAAAAGAAGAAAACGATTAAATCCTAAAGAGAAAAGTTCAATAGTGAGATATGAGCATTAATGGAAGTGAAGTGTAATTGTAATTTTAGAAAATTGAACTACACGTTTTAATATTTTAAAGTTAAAAGAAAAATCTTTCAGCAGAGAGAAACATTGCACAATTTCTGCATAAGGAACAAGACTAACGCCCAGGAAACAAGAGAATATTTTGCCACTTTAAAGGAAAAATAAATTATTTATTAAGAATAGTGTAAGTGTAACAATATCTTGCACTTCAATAAACATTTTTGTTATAGACCTTACATTGTTGATTACGCTGATATTCCGGAATTGGTATCAGTAAATACTTTTTATGTTTTAAAAATAAAAACAATAAAAAATATTTAAAAATATAAAACGTGACTGTGAATAAAATAACTAAAATTAAATGTTAACACAATTACACAGTGTTATTCATAATAAGTACTGATGAACTACGGCAGTCGGAGGTTCGTATTTATAAGTCTGTAATTGATTTTCAATTTTAGGAACTTAAACAATCATCGCCCTCACGTCAATGTTTTTTATAATTTATTCAACTGAATTATCAATATTAGCCCGTAAATGTCATTAAAAATATCTCTTTCACATTCATTTTTTTGAAATAACAGAAAAATGGATTTTATATCCATGTCATTGAATGCAAACAATTGACTCATCTTTGGATTATGATTTGAAATAACAGCTTAAAAAACAGTAACACGTGCAAATCAAATGTTCAACTAGTTCACGTTCTATTTACTTCCCATTTAATTTCATTCATTACAATGTTAGTCTCCGTCTACGACAGTTAATCAAAACTTCTTATAACTTCGTAAGACTGTAAAACTGTGTAAATGTCATTTTTTACTTGGTTTAATCTCAGGCGAGTTTATATTTTGAAATATTTTTAGCATATTGTATAATCTTCTTGTGCGGTGCCATTTGTATTCTATTACGGTCAACCCATTATCGCCCTGACAAATTTGCCTGTCCTCGTACACGTCCACTAATCCTTTGAATCATGGGCAGTGGACCGTCTATCGTCAAGCGGCTAGCAGTATCGTGTAATGAGCCTCAACCACGCTCCAGAGAGGTTTGTAATTCTGATTTGTACCGGTTGTAAATACAGCGCGCCTGGAAAGTCTGTCCGCACCGATCCAAAACAGAGTCTGTTGCCACCTCCGATTCCACCCACAGCTTTGCTGCCGTGCACGGCGCTAGTGTCGCATGCGTGCCACCATCTCTCCCCCCTCCCCTCGCTGCGTCTGCACTCCCCTCCCCTTGGACGGTCTGAGGCTGCCTGGTTCTCGTGATACCAACGAAATGTCTGTTGGTAGCACTCTCACCGGCGCGATCGCAGTACGGACTTTCCTGAGGTACCGTATGTCTCCGTGGCATTGTTCCAACACGTCTTTGAGAGTGAGAACAATGCGAGACGACATATTTATGACCGGTGAAAGCTAAGGTTGCAAATCTCGCTTGAGCGTCGATAACACCCTTAAACGGCACCTATGCTAGTCGCTTACGGGCAAGTTTCGTTTGAGGACGTTGCCTGGCATCGATTACAATCCGTTCCAAAATAAAAGTAACACTTTCCTCGTCGCAATTCTGCCGCCACAATTCTGTCGCAACTGCTAGTATTTGCGTAATTGTTCGCACAATGAGATACAGCGGCGACAGAGTTGCCACCAATCGAAGCGAGGCTCGCGAGGGCTACTTGTTCGCGAAAAGTACGCTTAACCCTCTGCTTCCCCTGTGACCTGTGTGAAAGACTTTTCTCAAGCGGAGCATTTTTATTTTCTTTATATACTCCACATAGACAACTAGAAAAGTAAGAAATAAGAGAAAAGACTGCAGACAATAGGTCCTGTACAATTCAATAAGATCATATAGTATTTGTACCAACAATAGATTCTGTGAATATGTTCCAATTTAGGGTATCAAATAAAAATTAAAATGTGTTGTGGTAGCTACAATTCTAAAGACAACGTTGGTTACATAACAATTTACACTCGAATTCCAACTGTTTCCAGGGAAGCCTTTACAGCGATCGAGATCATTCCGAGGTCGTTGATTATCACTACCGACTCCGCGAATAAGACAATTCCGGGTGGAGGGCGAGTGCAGAGTTACCGAGTGCCAGCATTACGCCTTCACAATTAAATAAAGCGTTAGTTACATAAATGCTCGTGCGGGGTATGTAGATCCCTCAAGCGACTCTGTAAAGCTGTTTTTGCAGCGTAGTTGAAGAGTGAATAAATTTGCTTGCATGCGCATCGTGTTGCAGAAGTAACTACACGGAAATAGTAGACTTTGAAGTACAGAGAGGTCGCGTGAGTACTAGAGCATTAATTAAAAATTCATCTGGGAATTACTTTGCGTATCTACCTAATTCAGTGAAAGTCAATAAACACTTTGTAAACTCTGATGAAGGTCTATACGTATTCTTCCGGGAAATTGTGCGACGCACGGGATCGTGTGCCTGAGAAACCTTTTTTTGTTGTATCCAAATACTCCGCGCGAGTGTTAACCCTTCTTTTACGAACTAGGGTAACTCATTTTACCCAACCAAACATGTAATTATCTTTTATTATTTTATAATTATGATATACAATCTTATTATCTTGAGAAGTTGTTTTTTGGTTAACAGTCGCTTATAAATGCCATTCCGGTATCCGAGGGGTCTGAGGTGGCCCCTGAATAAATTGCGAAATAATTAAATAATGTTTTTTATGTTTAAGAAATATTTATACACGGAATTATAGATATATTAAAATCATTTTGGGCTAGTTTGTATTCTGATATTATAAGTTTTTGAGGTAAGGCAAGGCCATTTTGAACTTTTATCTGTTCTTTCACTCTTATCCGGGGGGTGGCACAGAATAGGACAAGAATAAGGACAAGAAAAGAAATATTATGGGATCACATGATTTTATTTGTCGCGTGAAAGAAATGCAGTGCTAGTTTATGTTCACAAAAATAGATATTTCTTTAAGTGTCTCTGTTAGCAGAGAGCAATGTGGAATCAGTTGTCTGACTACCGCCGTGCGAGATGAATGTAACCCTTTCATGCAAGGCTCCTACCATAAGACAGCCATTCTCCTTTGAAGAAATGACCTAGAATGTCAAAGAAAATTAATGGAAGCTGTTGATAATAACGCCCTTCGATACCGGACAGTCGTGAGTTAACCACAAGACAGTGCACGGTTACTTCATGTGTTACAATTGCGCAGGGGTCTGTCGTTGATTCCTTCTATTAGAGTGCAACTGTTAACTACCTGAAAAAATCGCAAAAAGTTAGCTTTTTGGCACGTAGTATTATTATGGTATGCATTTATACTTCCTTAGCCTTCTTGATATTGTGATTTCGGAAAGTTCTTTAAGGTTACGGGCAGCAGGAGTTTATGAGCACATTATAATGAACTCTTCATCGAAGTTATACCACAGTATCTATACTGTAAGTAAAGTTGCCAAAAATGTAACAAATCTTGAATTGATGTTAAATCTGATTAACAAAAATGTTACGGAATTTATTGTAAAAATATGAATTCTCTATTGAATTTTCCGTGATATAACTTCGTTACCTCCTCGGTTAACACTGTTAAAATGGTACGTAAATCCTCGGTTGACGAAGGTTGAAGGCGCCAGGCAGTCCTGTGGTGGCTTAAATCAATTAATGTCACTGCAATTCTTTGACCTGGAGGGGTTAGGATTCTAGTCCAGATGGTGGCAATATTTTCTACACTAGCTTCATAACTAGGACGAATCTAGCCACAGTGTGGAGGACAATTCTAGCGACCGGCGGCTCTGATCGGCAGTTTTCCGTAGTTTCTCCGATCATCACTAGGCGATTGCCGGGACAGTACCTTAACAAATGGACCACGGACCGCGCAGGATCTTTCCTTGCTCTGCCTTTTGATATCCTTACCCCTTACACACAGTTTCACTTCCACACACGCTGAAAGACTAGCCGGAAGCTTAGAGGATGATTCGGTTGGGGCGATACCGCAATGGTGCGAGATACCTGGATAGGAGAGAACATGTAGGTCGGCGCCGACCATCGGAGAAAGAACACTGCTACCTCCTGTGGCAACAACATGCATTATATTGATTGGTTAGTGATTCTGGGCACATCAACAGCTAAGGTAATTATTCCTGAAAATATAGTGCATGTTTTAACGCGGGAGGTCGTGGCGGTGATCGTCCCGCTAGGTGTCGAGATCCAGCGCCAACCTACAGTCAGTGTTTCCCCTTACCAGGAATCTCCCACATGCGGGGCATTGCCCCAACCGGAACAAGCTCTGAGCTCACGGCATGTGTGGAACTGTAGCACGTGTAAGTGTAGGTGTGTCTTTAAGGGGAGAGGATAGGACATGGAAGTAGAAGGGAAGATTGCGCGCGGTCCGCGCCCCGTTTGTTAGCGCACTGCTCCGGCATTCGCCTGGTATTGCTTGGAGAAACCATGGAAAATACTTGATCAGAGCAGACGGTCGCTAGAATTCTCCTCCAGACAGCGATTGAACTCGGCCCTGCTATCTAGCTAGTGTCGAAAATGCTGCCACCGTCGGCAGTGGAACCCTAGAACCTACCGGTCCGATGTGCTGCAGTTACACAAGTTATTTATTTATTTAATAGGTAATTATTACAAACAAATTAGCTTACTTGATCCTATGTGGCGAGGCCGAAGCCTTAAGCCATTACAATACCTACAGCCTTCGCGTTCTTATCTTTCGAATTCTGGTATTCACCCAAATGGTCTCTACATCGCATCAAACGCCGCGAAAAGAGACCATAGGTACGGCTCAGGAAAAAACCCCTGAAGGGGGAAAAACCTGCCGTCAGAAGCCGAATACATACTAATCTATCCGCTGTGAGGGGTCCGAAGCTTCAAAGTGCATACCAATGGATTCTGCCCTGATCGCCTGAACTCACTTAAGTTACACAAGTTGATGCTCTGAGCCATGTCTCTAGGTAACATACCCTATTCTTACGGCAGGAATATTGCAGCTAGAGGAAAACAAGCGCCGGGGCGGGCCCGCAGGTTCGCCGCGGTCGCGCGGGCGAGGGGGCGGGGGCCGGTTCGAGCCGGGGGCGTGGCGAAGCGCGTGTCGGTGGCGTCGCCGCCCGAGGGGCTGTCGGCCATCGAGGAGGAGGGCGCGTCGCCGTCGGCGCACCCGCTGCTGCCGCCCGAGCACCTGCGCCTGCTGGCCGACGCCGAGCGCGCCGCGCGCAACGCCGTGCTGGGCCGCTCGGGCAGCTCCGTCACCTGCTTCGACCACTTCGAGGTCCTGCACTCCGCCTACCGCATCGAGCACCGCAACTACGCCACCGTGGTACGCCCACGGCCGCAGCCGCAGCCGCAGACGCTCGCGCTTTCAGCCAACGGCACGCCGAGGCCCGTGTCACACGAGCGTTGCGTTGACGCGCGACAAGTTACGCGAGTCGTAGATTAACACTGTATCTTATGCGGAACGGTCAAAGAGCTCGGGGACCGTTTCGCATCCGACTCCTCCACACATGTGCGGCATTCGGCGAATTTGGAGCAACCTCTAATTAAAATAACGATCAACCCCCTTCAAAATATATAATTTAATTGTTTGCTCCCTCATAATGCTTGTGAAAGAGATATAAAAATAAATTGTATGTTAACTTGACATATAATTCACACAGTTGAGAAGATATGGAAGCAATTTGAATGTAACTCATGTATAAAAGTCTGAGTCATCAAAACACATCTATAAATACCTGGATATTGCTCTGTCCGATTTTTAAACCCTTAAGTTTACTTATTTTTCGGACTTTTATGCGTAAACTGTTGATTCATTGATTTACTCTTTCGTACGTACGCTAACGTGTTCACGACTGTGCGAGTGCACTAGATTCTCTCCATAGAGTGATGTCACACACACAGTCTCTGTCTCTCTTTACACAATCCATTGACTCTGACTTTCACTTTGGTAGTGCATTCTTCAAATGCTTGCGGCATCTAACGCTGAACAGCTTTCATGCGTTTATTTTTGTTGTGTTTGTTGTATTTAACTCATTTACTAACTAGGTGATCGTTTATGTAGAGCCTGATTCCTAGCCATATTTTAAATTAGCAAGCAATTTAGGAATAAAGAGATACAGTAGTTAACTTTGTGCTCTCTGATTGAGTAGACAAATTATCGGATCATCAGCTTACGACGAGGGAGATTAGTTGTACTAATTTATTAGCAAACGAGAAGGTAACTCATTACCATACAAATGAGTATTGTGTCGCATTGCGGATATTGCAAGAGGTGGTGAAGGATTATTGTTCTAGATGAATTGTTTGCAATTTCCACTATGAGAGCATTTGTAGCTTTCACGGAACTAGTGCTTGTAAACAATTCATTTATTCATCTTTTTATTCATTAATTCACATATACAACTGTTAGAAACACTATCTTTATATTTTAGTAATTTACGTAGATACTAAAGGTAGAAATATTTTACTTCGCCAACGTCTAAACATACCTTACCCTACGAGTATTTCATACTAAATCAAACCCACTGCACCTCACAACTTCTCACAACACATCACTTTATATTATAATATTATGTATTTATTTAAAAGTAATGTTAATTATCCATCTTTCTGTTTATTTTGTAAAATATTAAATATTTCGAACGTCAGCTTAACTATTCATCTCTCTTAACTCCCATAATTATGAATACAAGTTTTATGTATATCGTAGAAATTTATAGGAAAGTGACTTGACTATCTCGCTTTGTAGGAGGGACGTTTTTAATGAATTTAAAAATGAACGACGGGAAACAAAGATTATAACTACTATTCATAATCATAAGAGTCATTTTAGTTCATCCTATGATTTATGTTATTACGTCTTTACTGCAAAATGTTGAAATATATTCGCATCTCATATTATCAACATTTTACATAACACAGAAATGGTAATGGATAGAAACAATAACAACACAAAATAATCTAGCATTTGAACATTCACACTTATTAAACAAAACATATTTAGTAATCTCATTCACTCTTGTCATACATGACGTATATTTAAAATGTTGTCCGGTATGTAAACATACGAGTGTAATAATTATTGACATTAGACATGTTCATCCTTCAACACATTTTAAATTACTGCCCTTTAGATATGGGGACACTATCACGTGTTAGCTATGACAGATCTCCTTCCATTTTATAGCCACACGTGATATTCCTAATTACTTGTTATATTAATTTGCAATCAAATAAAACTAGTAGTTTTCGCGCAATATTGCGAGTAATATATGCAATTTTAAAAAATTACAAAAACTAGATTTTCTCAAAAAGGTTCCAATTTATTTCTTTAAACTTTTGATAGAGATAGTATTAAATGCACTCTATACGACGACATAAACGCCATATTGCTTTATTTTTTTATTTTTTCAAAAATTACACGTCGTTTGGTTTATTTTAACGGCAATTTCTTTATCTTAATTTATTTATTAGTACAGGTACTTTAAATAATGTTAGATAAAGTTTTTCTAAACTCAAGCTTTTTCTTTTAAAATGAGCTCAAAGTTCCGCATTTTTCAATTTTTTTTTCTTTAAACTTTGCGAACGTATAATGCTAACTGCACTGCAATGTTAAGATAACGTAGAATTAATTTTTCTGTATCCTTTTTTTTCAAACATTACACAAATGTAATTTTCTTGAAAAGACTCCCATGCTTTTAATATGCACGTTTCCGGAGATTTGTAAACACTATTGAATTTGTGACTGCAATTGTCTGAAATGAATTTATATGAAGTTTTTCGGAAACTCGATAGTTTTCTATGAAAGGAGGTTCAAATTTTGCATTTACAATAGCGCTTAAATGCCATTTTGTTAAAAGCAGCTCCAAATTCTTCAAAGAAAATTGCCATTTAGGGTGGGCTTTTGCTGTGTTTTAATATTCGTAAATTAATTTTTTTCGTTCTACTACTATGAAACCGAAAAATTAAGAAACGTTCGATAAATGGCAGCTGGCAAGTCCGTATGTGGCAAGTTCGAATTGCGAGCTAAGTCCAAAGGAAAACTAATAAGGTAAAGTCTGTGCCATTCTGTAGAACTACTAGTTTAATTTTTAAAGTGTTATTGTTCCAAAACTGTTTGGTTATATTTCATTGTACTCGCTAAGTATGGTCTGCTTTCATAGCCCTAATGAAGGAATAATACATTTCGAAACATTGGCGAACTAAAATATTTTCTTTCGCCCATTCCGGAACAATCAAAAACTATTGTGAACTAGTGGTCGCGAATTGCATCAACTCTTAAAAAAATCTTAATGCTGAGCTGAAGCTTTAATCTTCCTGTTTTTTGTAATATTTTGCAGATTGTTGATGACAATGCAACATATGTGTGTGTCTTGTACGGCATACTTCGAATTACGATGGAATTGAGTGTGAAATCATTACAGCAGATTCGGTGTATGGAAATTACTTAGTAGAAGGTTATTACGGTATTACAATTTAAAAGGTTTTGGGGTTAAAATATTTCTAGAAATTTGTGACTACACTATGAGGCTAGACTCGAAATGTGCTGAAAGCTTCTGTATAACCTAAAGGGCTTTTGTTGTTGCACTGCGAAGATACATTCCGAAACACTGGTATCTTTCTTGACCTAATTTTGGCAGTTATTTTGTTTTCTTGTATACCTTAACTTTCATGTCATTTGTTAATGTGTATCATGTTTTGCAATATTGTTTCTAATTCGTCACTTATTTTTCATTAATGATTATAATGACATCTAGGTGTTCGTAACCGCGGAGAACTTGATGAACCGACGGAATCGTAAAGTGAGTTTAGTCTGTTGATCAAAGAATGGTGCGATGTGTCACTCCAGAAAATTGGTTGATGATACGTTGTATTTCGGCTGAATTTGATAGGAAATGTCTTTCACAAAAAATACTAAATAATATCCGAGCGCAAGTAGTAAAGCAAGTATTTTTTAAACGAACGGTGAAAGATTGATCAAGATATTATAACGACTTGATTTCGGATCCATCCCTTAATTTTTTTTTGTAATCACCAAAATTCTATCGTTACTACGTAAAATGTAACATTACCATAAACATTAAAAATGAAATGTTGACATCCTAGGAGTTCGACGACACGACCGGCATCGTGGAGTTGAAGATTCCCGATGCCACCGTGCAAGTCTTCCCGGACGGGACGTACCACGTGCAAATGCCAGGCGACATGCACGACCTGGGGGACACGATCGTGACGCTGGAGGTGGGCGCCGAAGAGATCCACATGAAGCACCTCCTCAAGGAGTCGGGCGAGCTGCTGTGCCGCAACGACATCGACCATCGCCTTCCTGGGCGTCCGCCTCCGCTCGCCATGGACCAGGTACGTGCACAAAGGGCGTTTGTTTATATTTATTTATTTATTTATTTATTTATTTATTTATTTATTATTTTATTTATTTATTTATTTATTTATTTATTTATTTATTTATTTATTTATTTATTTATTATTTATTTATTTTATTTATTTATTTAATTTATTTATTTATTTATTTATTGATTTATTTATTATTTATTTATTTATTTATTTATTTATTTATTGTTGAAAGTTGATAGTACATAAACAATTAAACCGTAGTGAAAGCCAGTATTGAGATATATACATGATGTGGGGGTTATTTAACTAACTTCCACTAATTAATTATTTATTTTATTCTGTCCCACGGTGGGCAGCCATTTGAGATGGTTTAAAATAAATAAATGTAAATAAAATAAATAAATGTCTTTATTGGTGGTTTACGATTTTCCTGATTTAATTTGACTATTTATGTTGGCCGGTTAATATTTCATTTACTACAATATCAATTAATTTTGCTATTTCAAACATTACCTTGACTTTACCAACTTGTGTAGGACGTATAACTCTTTACCTTATTTTAATATTATATGTGAACGTGTGACTGTACAGAGGCGCAATTCTTGGAAGTTCTGCTGTATTATCCTGTTAATAAAAATCTGATGGCAACTTCTACACATTATCAACTTTCTTACTTACATTGATTATTAAAAGTTAACATTTATTCTACAGATTAACATTTTTTAGCCTTTGAGCTCATTAATGTTTTGAATCATCTTAACTTTTTACATTCACAAATTCCGTACGTTATTTCTTGTATTTAGTACCGCCTACTTCGGTTGTTGTCAAGAGAGAGACTGGCCCCTCCTAAAAAATTGCGGAATCTCGATTTTCAGCGCCGTCTTGTCATTTATTCAACATTATGTCCAGGGGCCATGCTTCGCACAAGAAAATCGCGTTCAGTCCTGCAAGCATGGAACACGAAGTTTGTTGACACGTTGTTCTGACGACGTGTATTCCTTGGTTTAGCCTATTTCTATGCATCAGCTTCTAAAGTAATCATACGTTTTATGCATATTTCCCTTTATTAAATGCTTTGAGAGATTTATGGTATGTCACAATAAAGATAATGAAATAGAAAATTTTTTTCTTCTCTCTTCTAATTCATTCTTACAGATTCGCGGGATTTCCTTTATTTTTAAAGAAAAAATGCCGTAAAACATAATTATACTAGCTCAGGATAGAGCATTCTCTTACATTAATCTACCAGGTAGTACAATACAATTTAACGCGCCAGCGGCGTAGAACCAATGCAAATCCTCACTTGGCAGCACAATGTATATAAAAGACAAAAGGCAAACATTCTTGTCATGAATGAAAGGCTTCAAAATTCTTTTAATTCTAACCCAACTTTTAGAAAAGAGGCACTAGCTCTTTAATTGGTCTTTGGGTCTACTTATTACATAATTTAGATAGCATGGATTTACATTTTATTTAGCTTGCACACTTGTCCTAATTTGAAGTACTTACATTTGTCCCCGTTGATCTGAGCAAACAGCGCTTCCATCCAGCCAATCAAACGAGTTTGCCCGTTGATGAAAACTCGCAGAAGACAAATTGTCTGTGCTAATTGAGCTCATTCGAGACGTATAAGATATATTGGAAATACAATGATCCAAAATTAGATCGTCTCTCTTCTAAATCACAACGTTGTCTGTAAATTATCCCAATATACTGGTTTCGAATTACTTGAATAGTCGTTCGTCCACGATATTTCTCGTGCATCATCGTCTCTTTCCCAACCGTCTCTAACTGTTCGTTCATAAACAAAGGCGTTTGCCAGAGCAAACCGCAGTCCTACAGTGCTGTACCGTGTTTACTCGGTGCGCGCCGGTGGCGGCCGAGGCGAGACGAGGCGAGGCGAGGCGAGGCGTGGCGGGGCGACGGCGTTGCAGGTGCTGTGCAGCACGGTGGACGGCGTGGGGCGCAGCTTCGAGGTGCAGTACTCGGGCCAGTCGTCGTACCGGCGGCGCGGGCCGGGCGAGCACGTGGTGTTCTCGGAGAACGCGCGCTACTTCCTGGTGCACCGCGACCTCACGGGGCTGGAGCTGCACACGGCCGACGCGCTGCGCCGCCTCATCGCGCGCACCGAGGAGGACCGCCGCAGCATCTACATGTCGCAGGTCGTCGTCAAGGTGCGCCCCGCCCCTAAATCTAAAGTGATGTGTTGTAAGGAGTTGAGGTGCAGTGGGTTTGATTTAGTATGAAATACTCGTAGAGTAAGGTATGTGTAGACGTTGGCAAAGTAAAATATTTCTACCTTTAGTATTTACGTAAATGACAAAAATGTAAAGATAATTTTTTTCTGACAGTTGCATATGTGAATAAATGGAAAAGTAATTAAATCTACTATACACTTTACCTAGTGCATCCCCTGATACCAGGGTTGCCAGATCCGTTCTGTGAAAATACATCATGGGGGGGGGGATAAAAATACGCTCTATTCTGCAAATGATTAAGTGGTGAAAATGGTGGGTGGTGAAAAAAGCGAGCTCTGACACTGGGGCTGGTTATATCCAAATATCTGTATTTTCACCAAATGCTTAAAACTCAAGCCAACAATATTTATATTTTTTTAGGAGAAGGTATATACAATTACATGCCTGTTTAAATAAGAATAAAAAAATCTCTGACACATTTTCATAATAGCTTTACATTGCAAGAGTTTCAGGGCTAAAACTCCTTTACGTAGAGCATATCTTTCGCAAGACAGCAATACTTGGACAATTTTTAGGAAAAGTTGAGTATTATTGATGATTTAAGTGAAAAACCATGGCATCGCCCAAAATTCTTCCGTGAAGCAACAAATTTCGCGCGTTGATCGGAGTCCCACAAAATTGTATTTCTTCCCTCAAGTCGTCACCCTTTTCTCGCCTATTTGGTGGAATTTTGCCATACATGACATCCCTGCCTGATGCTACATGGCTGCGGTTTGAATGGTGTAACGTCTTCGTATTGGGCTGTTGTAACTAAATTTGCGGGATCGAAACCGATCGAAGCCTCAGATTTTAGGAACCAAAGAAATCAATGCCTTCTTTCTGAGGAGAAGTAAACCCATCTGTCCCATATTGTAGATTGACTGCGTGGAAAAGATCCTGAAGCCTATGAAAAGTCTCTGAGCTATATTCCTATGAGAAGTATATTCAAATCACCTGTTTCGTTGGCTGAGTGATACCTTCTTTCTCCGTTAAAAGGTGAAAAGATCGTAACGAAAATCGCGTGGTCGGACGGCATCATTTAATCATCAAAATACGGCATCATTGAATTGAAGCGAATCAAAGTTTTTGTTTGAAAAATTTAATTGGGGGCGTGCGCAGCGCCGGACCTGTCGTACCACGTGTCACTGCGGCCGCTGCTGAGCGAGTCGGAGCGCTGGCTGCTGCCGTGCCGCCGCTGCGGCCTCAGCTCCTACGAGTTCCGCAAGCGCGCGCGCGCGGTGGCCGCGGCGGCGGCGGCGGCCACGTCCAGCTCGAAGGCGGTGTGGCGTCGGGCAGGCAGGCGGGCGACGGCGCGGGCGCCGGCTCGGGCGAGGGCGTGGCGCCGAGCAGCCCTGCGCTCGACGTACGGCGTGCCGCCCAGCTGGTTCCACGTTTCCAAGTCGGCGCGCGAGCAGCTTCCGGGGCCAACTGGAGCGCAGCGCGTCGCACCAGCAGGACAGCGGCAGGCAGCGGCGACGACGACGAACCTGACGGCGCACCCGGGCATGGAGGTGCCCGACCCGCTGCTCGTCGACATGCTCAGGAGATGTGCCGCGCCGCATGCGCCTGCGACGCGTCGTGCGCTCCGCCGTCGAGGCCATCGCCGTTGCCGTCTGCGACAGCGAGGAGATAGTGCGTGCGCCCTCTCGGCTCTCCGCTCCCCCCTCCTCTCTCCCTCTCTCCTTTTCTCTCTTCTCCTCTCCCTCTCCTCTCCCACACCTCTACCTCCCCGTCCTCTATATTTCTCCCCTCTCCCTATCCTCTTCCTCTTATTTTTTTCTCTCCTCTCCTCCTTTGCCCCTCATCACCCTCCGTCTGCAGCAGGGACGAGATGATGCGTGCCGCGTAACGTTTGTCAGGTCGTTACTTGAGTCTTCAATATGCGTTCAATATGACATCCGCCAAATTTCTTTCCCAACGTTTATGCACTTCATACATGCAAATTCATAATTTATTTTTATTGATTTTTTGCATTTCTCAATTCATCTGAACACATCATCGACTCACTTCGAATTCCATAATTTTCAGTATCTCTTCTTCTCTAAGTTAAAACAGAAATGTTACTCTAGTGATCTACACATGAAATTCAGTATAGCTAAAATATTATTGATACATTTTAGTGGCCTCTCTCTGTCTCTCTCTCTCTCTCTCTCTCTCTCTCTCTCTCTCTCTCTCTCTCTCTCTCTCTCTCTCTCGCCTTTGTCGTCTGTCTTGTGTCCCTCTCGTGTCCTTCTCCCCTACCCCCTATCTTTCTCCTTTCCTCCATGCCTATATTTTCTATCCCTCATCTCTGCTTTCCTCTCTCCTCGTCTCTCCTCGCCTCTCCTCTCCTTTCTCCTTTCCTCTCTTCTCTTCTCTCTCTACTTTTCTCTCCTCTCATCCCCTCTCTCCTCTCCGGTCGTTTCTCCTCTCCCCTTCTCTCTCCTCTTCCTCTCATCTCCCCTTCCTCTCTCGCTCCCCCAAAATGCCGGCTCTCAATCTGTCTTAAAAGCATTACCCATTGCAACAAAAAAAGCGTTCAGAGGATAAATTTTGAAGTATTTTCTTCGCGGCTACATTTTTCGTAATGGGAACTAAATTTTACTTTCTAGAATCAATAGATCAATAGTTTGGGATCTTTGTTGATATGCATTGAGGTTGTTGTTGTTGTTGTTGTTCTTGCGTTGTGTGCGCGCGTGTGTGTGCAGTTGCGCGAGCGGTCGGCGCAGCGGCTGGAGATGCGGGAGGAGGCGCGCTGCGACCTGTCGCACGTGGAGCACCGGCGCCTGAGCAAGCGGCAGGCGCGCCTCTCCATGGTGCGGCCGTGCTGGCAGGAGAAGACGTCCTCGCCCGCCGCGCTCAACCTCTACCGCCTCGCCACGCACCGGCGCACCTCCATCAGCATGTCCGTCAGCGAGGAGAACCTCTTCCAGGTGCGCCCCCGCAACACCATTGCGCCGACGCACTCCATTCAAAAGGGAACGTTGCCAATTATATACGTTGTAGTGGTGGAGGACCTGGAGGGCCGAGGCGGCTACAGCGTGTGCCGACTCAGGGGCCTCGGTCTGATGGGTCGCGATTTCGAGTCCTACCGTGGGCACGGTTGTTTGTCCCTTGTCTTTCATGTATGAGTATTGTCGCGGATGTCCTTGTGAGTTTTCTGACCGAGGAGCCAGTGCGTCAGTGTGCCAGTATCTAGTGTAAAGGTTAATACGTGTCCCCATGAGGGATATAGTAAATATCCGGCGCGGATAGTCAAAATCGATGTTCTCTGAAGCTGGAAAAAGCCCGAAGGAAAAAAGATGGTATTGATATGAACAATAAAGTAAATTTTCGATAGTTTAAATTCTTTAACTCTCGCTTATTTTTATGTATCTGTTACAACATAAACTACACTTACGGGACTGATAATATTAGCAGTGGATGGAATCACTAATCAATCAGTTTATCCAGTTTTACTTGAAGTGATGAAACAAAACCCAAAAGGTTGTAACCTGTATGGCTTCGTCATTAAAATTGCTGACAAAATACAATAATTAATTTCTCTTATATAAATTAATGTTAACGTACGTGATCCATGCAATCCAGCTTTCAGCGATTCTGGCTACCCATGTTAGAGAGTGAGAGACTCTACCGAAAACGTAATAGAACACCTAAAAATGACTCATTTTGTAAATTGCGGCATAAAAAATTAACTCATGTTCTTTAAAGGGACACGAATACGTAGTTTAAAGGGCTTAGGACTCATACTTTCCGAGTAATGCACGATAGTAAAATGCGTTCCTGCGAAATAGGTTTATGGGCTTGCATGTGCGCCTGTTTCCTCAAATATGCCGTAAACTGCGAACTTCTTTTTTTCTCCTTAAATCTCTTTTATGTTGGACCGAGGAGTAATTTCGTATCCAGCATTACTATTCTTACGTGGTTTTATGACCATGGTTTGTTATAAAACGACAAATCTTTCCTTAGGATTGTCTTTAATGAAAAGGATGCTTTTCGCTTTCATTATTTACAAATAGCTTCTTTTAGACAGCCACTTGTAAAATTATCTTTTTAAAGCATGCATAGCGTTCTAAAAGTTCAATTTTTAGCACTAGTGCTGAAAGTAAGACGATGCTCAAGTGTTCAGAAAAATTTGTGAAGGTTACAAAGAAAACATGATAATTTCGTTCGACATCATCAGCTACTTCTGACTGTAATGTATCATTACGTAATTTGTATACTTGAACAAAAAAAGACAGTCAGTAGGGTTGTCTAAAAATAGTACAATAGTAATTTTTTTGCTCGTAGGATAGGAGGATAGTGTTTTTAATGAATCTGGAAGGTCCCACTCTTAATATCTTTTAAAAATTGTATTGAACCAGATCAATGGTAGTGTTAGCAGTACTTTACATGTGAGTATTAGCTTTTAGTTATATAATATAATAGATGGATGCACTACAGTGGCTGGACGGCACGATGAACGGCAAATTAGCTCCCCTTACACCCCTATTTCTGAGCAAAAACTTTTTTACTGAGTACCTCTATGATGGCTGTAGTTGATTTTATGAAATTGAAGATAAGAGGATAGAACGATATCCGTAGAGCTAAAAGTGAGATAATTATTTCTTTAGGTTATGGGGGTCGAAACAGATCTTTGGGAGACGAGATTTGATTCTTGTTGGAGCAACGCTGCTTTTATCTACGTTAAAGTGATTGGTGTATGGGGCAGATTGGAGGTTAGTAAAGACTTTGAACGACAGAAAGAAATAAAATTGATAATTGGTTCTATGTCCAGTTTTCTATGTAGTTGTCTGTTGGTTATTTTCCGAGGGGCATTGGTAATTGTGCGCAGAACTTTAGTTTTGAAAGTTTTGAAAGGGTTTCAGAACGGAAGGAACGGCACCTTCCTAGAGTGAGGCAGTATAAGTTATTGAGAGTTGAGAGTCATAGGAATAATTCACAGAGAAGCAGAGAATTTTTTAGTTTTAGAGATTATTTTCTATTCATTAGGAGATAATTTGAGTAGATCTCAATAAGTTTCATTAAGTGTGTGAATAATGTAATTTGAGACGAATATCCAGGAAGACAGGAGGTAAATAATTGGTTTATTGGAAGGGGCCCGGGTAATTATTTATTTTTAAAGGGGGAGGCATATTTGTTCGTCGCAGGTTAAAGATTTCGGTTTCACATTTTAAGGGCTTCAGCTAGGCCACATTTTTTAGTCCAATTAAAAAAGTTTTTTCCCTAGAGCTTTATCCAGCCCACAGCCGGTTAGCCTTTATATGTCCCGATGGAACGCATTAACAACCGCGACAACACATGCCCACATGAGACAATGGACAAACAACCATGCCCAAGGCGGGACTCGAATTGGCGAACCTTAGCACCGAAGTGCTGAGTCGGTACACGCTCTGAGCCACCTTGTTCATCAAGGTTGACAGAAATTATAGTTTATGCTATTAGTTTATAACGTTAAGTTTTATTGCACGAGTACATGTTTTAAAAACGAGAGGCGTTGAGAGCGAGTTTTCAAATTTGTACGAATCCTATAACGCAACATTATAAAAGAATTGCAAACGCTATTTTTGTATAACAACATTATAATTTTATAATAGAATGAAACTTAATTTTGCGAAACAACTTTTGACGTCATGGGAATTTGACATCTGAGAAAGAAAACAGTGGTCGGCTGTTCCATTTACCGCCACCGCCCACAATTCTCTCATTGCGATTTGCTGAATATGATGACGCAATCATTCGTGCCGTAAAATGCTAATGCGTCATCCTTCGTGCCGTAAAATGCCTCTTTTATGAACGATTTCATGCAACAGAAAAGGCAGTTCGTAATGCTCGTTCCGAGAGCGCCTGACGAAGCGAAGCTAACGCGTGTGCGCGTGCGCAGCAATTCTCGGTGCTGACGGGGGCGAAGCGCGGGCACGCGGCGGCGAAGCGTGACCGCGAGGCGCAGCAGGTGCAGGAGCTGCGCGCGCTGCTGCGCCTGGGGCGCGGCCCGCCCTACTTCGAGACGCCCGCGGGCAGGCGCTTCCTCGAGGAGGACGCGGCGGCGCACAAGGCGGCGGCCAAGGCGGCGGCGCGCAGCAAGACGCTCGTCGAGGAGGCGTCCGCGCGCGTCGCCTCCGCGCAGCACCTCCTCGACCAGGTGGGGAAATAAACGAAATAAATAAAATGCGTATTTGTAGGGTAGAGAACGGCTTTTATGACTACTGTAGAACTGAACAACTTATTATTGCAATGCAAGTTGTCGAAATGAAACGTTGAACTACTATATCACGTTTATGAAGCAGAAATCAGAGGAAAAAGTAAAAAAAATAAATAAAATGCGTATTTGTAGTGCAGAGAACGGATTTTATGTTGTGACTCTACAGTACTTACATTGGCTGAGCCTAAAGGATGCGTTATGCGTGTTTAAAAACATCTCAGAATTATTTCGAATAAGTGTTGTTGATTGAAAAGTTTGTTGAACTACGTTTGTTAAACTATCACATCTTCATGTAGCAGAAATTAAAAGAAAAATAAACAAAATAAATAAAATGCGTATTTGTAGTGTAGAGAACGGATATAATGATTACTTTAAAACTGAACAACTAATTATTTAAACACAAGTTGTCGAAATAAAACGTTTGTTGAACTACGGGGTATATCACATATTTATGTAGCAGAAATTAGAGGAAAAAGTAAACAAAATACATAAAATGCGTATTTGTAGTGTAGAGAACGGATTTTATTATTACTGTAGAACTGAACAACTAATTATTTAAAAAAAGTTGTCGCAATGAAACGTTTGTCGCAATGAAACGAAGTATGGTGTATATCACATGTTTATGTAGCTGTAATTATCACGTAGAGGAACTTACAAAACCGGTCTGTTCTTTTGCTGCAAGGAATTGAATCTGATTGATGACACGATCACTATGCCACGTTGCCATTTTATCACATCGCACGTTAGGTTGCATTGTCTGGTAATCCTATAGATATATTGGTATAAGAACGGTACATTTTTGGGGATAATCCGAACACTCCACACCCCCAATTAGTTCGGTTTACTGGGGTTCTACAGTACTTACATTGGCTGAGCCTGAAGGTGAGGTAGATGGAGAAGGGTGCGTTTTGCGTGTTTAAAGACATCTCAGAATTGTTTCGAAGACAGTGTTGTTTACACGTTTAGAATGTAGTTTCTCGTCAATATTAACTGACGCGCATATGGGGTGAGAGATGTATAAAACAGATTTTTTTCTATACACGGAATACATCCGAAAAGGCGTATATTTGGTTACAAAGTTCAGATCGATGCATATTTTTTGGGATTTTTCTTACATTGGCTGAGCCTCAACTTGAGGTAGACGGAGTAGGGGATATTTGTGTTTAAAAAAAATAATTTGTTTAGAGGGCAGTGTTATTCACCCGTTCAGAATGGAGTGCTCTTCGATCGACAAGTTTAACAGACGAGTTTATGGTATATACTTACAAACTCAATTCTAGGGTATGTTTCCTCTGGATGACGTTTCATGGGTCTGCGTTCTCAGAATACCGTGGGATGTGCTACTATGCGCAAAGGGAACGAGGGTGTGGCGTGGTCATGCCACTGTGTTTGCCAGGAGGTGGGGACGGTGTCGCCGATTGCGCTGGCGCCGCAGATTCCCACGACGCCGCCGACGCCCACCACGCCGCCGCCGCCGCCGCCCTGCACCACGGACAAGGCGTCGTTCGACTCCAGCCACTCGTCCTCCTCCTCGTCCACCGTGTGCAAGCGCTGCGGCTCCGTCTGCGAGCACACGAAGCGGGTGAGCCTGCGCAGGCGCGAAACGTGGGCGAAATGGACGCGCTGCATGGAAGGATGTATCTGGTGTATGATTGTATTGGACGAGTTTACGTACCGTTCGCCGTGAACGACGTGCTACGTCGTCGATCACATGATTAAAATAGATGCTTGACCCGAGTGTAACATAAGTAAGTACGCCATACTTCGTTAAGAGAAACAATGTCACCATATGAACTAGTGGTGCAACAAATGGCACAGACTTTCTCGTATTGGTTTTCTATTTCCCTGGGCCTTGGATTGCTACAAAGACTTTCCACATACTGTTGCCGGCTGCCATCTATTGCCGCCCAAAGTACTTTTTTTGTAAACCTTTTCTTAATTTTCGGTATCCTAATTGTAGAATGGAAATATTATTTTAAGAATATTCAAGAACAGTAAAATCTCGGCGTACATAGTAAATTAATATGAAAAATTTAGAGCCGTTTTTAAGAAAATGGCGTTCAAGCGCTAGTATAAATTCAAAATTTGAAGCTCCTTTTCACAGAAAATTTTTGAGCTTTCGAAGAACCTCATTAAAAGCCATTTTAAGCACATTAACTCACAAGTACAACAGAGTTTACAGGTTACGGGAAATTTGCATATAAACGGCGTGAGAGATTTTTCAAATTAATTGCATTTGTGTAATTTTTGAACAAGTAAAAAGTATTATCTCAAAATGAACTTTACATTATATTAAAGAGTACTATTAGTACTATCCGTTCAAAGAGTTTGAAGAACAAATTTGGAGCCGTTTTTGTAAGAATGGCGATTGAGCGTTCTTGAAACTGCAGAATTTTGAACTAGTTTTCTCAGAAAATGCTCCTTGAGTCTTCAAGAAACTTTATCTGAAATTATTTATTGAGACCTTCCATATTAGACATCCCTGTCCTAGAAAGAACATCAAAGTTACGAAACGTCACTTTTCAATTTAGAAATTATTTCATTTATAAATTTTACAATATGTTGGTCGTTATAATTAATTTATTTATGTACCATCTGATAAACATACATGCAAGTTAATTTAACAGTGTATAAAGAATAGACAGATGAACGCTTGTGATAGCAAACTCTGAAGAAGTCGTTTTCCTTTGCCATTCCAGGAATGCAGAGGCGAGACTGCCCTGCTCGGAGCGAACAGTGAACTCTCGACTTACTTCCCTTCGGACGAACGGCAGTGATTTCCAAAATCTTTTAATCATAATTCGACAACAACAATATCACTATGGAAAGGAAATGGATACTTCTGCGACTGAAGTGTAATGGAAATCTAAAATAGTCCTCTTTTAGAGAAGAATGTACATATGTTTCTAATACGATTGTTGACTGAAAGGGAGTATTGAAATACCTTTGTAAGTACCATGTGTCAATTAAATATTTGATGAATGTTTAATATTGTGTTTGAAATATCTTGTAGTAATATAATTTATTTTGAGGCCGGGACACCGCTGGTAGGCCATGGCCCGTACACGACCCGTCGCGCCAAGTTCAAACAAATTACTAAAATAATTTCCCGTCTTTTTGCCGAATGGACTTTTGTTCTTTATACGAAGAGATTTAGAAAGTCGCACGGCTTTGATATCTCTCCTGCCGTGCACTTTCGACCGTTTATTAGTCGGTTACGTCCTTGACCACCACGTTGTTGGAATGGAAAACTGAACCATGTTAATATACTTCAACAAATGAAACTTGGTCATTAAAGAATATTAAAGAACATTAAGGAATTGTAAAATGTCCCAAAATAAAAAAAAAGATAGATGCACATTTCCTCTTTAAAACTTATGACGATTTATGATACCCAGGAAAAATTAGATGTACTCCAGACATAAGTATTGGAAACTGAATAATATCATATCCACCTGCTGTTAAATATAATTTTAATATAATAAAATTAATAGATCTAGTTTAAACTTTCCGCTTTAAAATAAACTTTCCATTCAGTACTGGAATAAATTGAATATTTTAACAAAAACAGTCTTCAAGAATACTGCAATAACGTAGAAATTAGTACAATATAACACAATTGTTGTTTATACAACCAAGAATATTTTCAACCAAGAAAACGTTCCATAACTCTACACTTCAATAACAAATATTTAATGACGGGCAGC